TAGCATGTTATTAAACAAAGAATGGGTTACCAATGAATACTTATATAATAAAGAGGTAATATGTAAATTAACCCTCAGACCCTCACAAGATGGCTGCCTACCACCAGGCTGGCAGGGGGGTTAGTGAGGGACGACCAAATGACTGAAAAAGCAGTCTGCGTGGGGCGACTAGACTGGCAGGGGGATTAGTGAGGGACGACTAAACTACTCAACAGCAGGCTCAAGAGGCTACCAGGCCAGCAGAGAGGGCAGTTGGGGGCCACCAGGCCAGCAGGGGGTGCAGTTGGGTGCAACCTGGCCAGCAGGGGAGACAGTTGGGGATGATTAGCCTGGCAGGGGGGCAGTTAGGAGCAACCAGGCTGGCAGAGGAGGGGCAGTTGGGGGCGATTGGGCTGGTAGGGCATGCAGTAAGTGGGGGGCCGGGGGGGGGGGGGGGGGGGGGGACAGTTAGGAGCGACCAGGTTGGCAGGGAGAGGGCAGTTGGGGGTGACCTGGCCAGCAGCGGGGGGCAGTTAGGGGTGATCAGGCAGGCAGGCATGTGAGCGATTAGGAGTCAGCAGTCCAGGATTGTGAGAGGAATGTCTGACTGCAGGATTGGGCCTAAACCTGCAGTTGGACATCCCCTGAGGGGTCCCGGATTGGAGAGGGTGCAGGCTGGGCTGAGGGGACCCCTCCGTGCATGAATTTTGTGCACTGCGCCTCTAGTCAAGAAATAAATTTTAAAGACTTACTGGAAACAAATGAAAATGAACACACAACAACCCAAAATCTATGGGACACAGCAAAAGCACTCCTGAGAGGCAAGTTCCTAGCACTACAGGCATACCTCAAAAAAGAAGAAAAATTAACAATAAACTATTCAACCCTTCAACTTAAAGAACTAGAAAGAGAACAACAAGAAAAGCGCAGAGTAAGTAGGAGGGAAATAATAAAGATTAGCGCAGAAATAAATAACATAGAGACTAAAAAAATTATACAACAAATCAATGAAACCAAAAGCTGGTTCTTTGAAAAGATAAACAAAATTAATGAATGGTTTAACCAGCAATTTTTACTGTAGGTTGGTAGTATGAGGAGCAATGCCCCCTGGAGGCCAGAGTGATGACAACAGTGACACCAAGAGAGAGAACATTTGATGGCTGTTCTTTTGGAGAAAGGAGGTGGAATCTGAGATCAATTTCAGGTGTGCCCACCCTTCCATGGCCCATCTTGGAAGCTGAGAATTTCCTCTTAGTGGCCTCTACTACCCTGGGAGGGCTAGGGGTTATCTGGGCAGTTTACTTAGAGCCCATCACAGGTTTTGTAATCCCTGGATTTCCCATTAGGCTTTGGGGCTGAAAGACATGGGTTTGAATCTTAGATCTGCCGTTTATTTGACATGGGGAAACGCATGACTCCTACGGTCTGCAGATGGTTTCTCTGAGAAGTGGGGGAGGGGAGGCCTCAGGAGGCTCAGGACAGTGACTAGGTTTGTTCACACCCTGT